AATCTATCTTTATAGTAAAAACAGAGACTTATTTATAGTAGTTGTACTATTCTTAAACATGTTTAGAGATGTGTTATGCCAGCTTATCTAGTCTGTTTAAATTATATGGGAATAGCAGGATTACAGGTATTTCAAAGTAATTCTTTATTTTAAGAAGAGGTTATATAATATTAAGATATAGACTAGTAAAATAGTAAGATAGAAGATTCAGACAGGTAGGTTTAATCAAAATAACTTATATTAACATAGATGGCTAGTTAAGTTATATATAAGTTAATAAATAAGATATAGCTTAAGGCTATAAACAGGATTACAGGGATAAAAGGCTTTTTAACAGTGCGTGGAGTCACGTGCGAAGCTTTTAGCAAGGGTGTGCCCTAGTCGCACCGTGACAATTAAATATTATTAATTTTATAGCTGTTACAGTTCCAGTAAAAATAATAAATATTTTTATTTATATCCAGCTAGTAATAATAGCAGATAATAATTTTATATATTTAGTTTTATTTAAGATATTCAGTAATTATACTATTATAGATTTTTTAAATAATTCAGATTTATAAAGACTTTGAATTGAAAATTTAAATTTATTCTTAAAAAAGCAGATACTTATTACTATTTAATTAATATTTTATAATAGAGATCTTTAGTTTTAATTATTTAAAAAGTTTAGATTAATCTTTAACAACAATCTTCTAATATTTCTTTAAATTTTCATTATTTTTTTTTATTCGGGGTTTTAATATACTAAAACCAGAACTATAATAAAAATCTTTTTAAGAATCTTAAAAACTATCTTTATCTTTAAAGTTTAACTAAACTTAATATTCTTTTTTATAAGTTAAATTAAGAATTTTAAATAAGTCTCTCAGTCTTTAAAAAACTATTAATAAAAGTTAATAAATCTTAAAAAGATTTAATATTATAAGCAGTCTTTGCAATCTATTCATTCTTTATAACCTAGACTTTAGCAGGGTTTATATAAATCTTAATTCCTAATTTTAATAATAAATTTTATATACTTAATAAAAGTAATATTAGATTTATATTTATTAATATTTATTTAAAAGCCTGCACTGTGTTGATATTCTAAAACTTAGTATATTTAAATCTAGTATTAGGTTAATCTATTATCTATAAAGATAAGAATATTATTTATATATATAAAGTAAAATTTATTAGGAAACTTTTATAAAATCTAATTAATATACTATTAAAATATATTCAAATAATTAATAAAATTAAATAAACTTACTAGCTATTTATATAGCCTGAAACAGATATAATAAATAATCTTTTCTTTATTATCTTTTTTAATTTATATATAATAAAAAGTTTGAATTATATTTAATTTAATAAAATAGCAAGGTTTCAAAATATATTACAGAGTTTTCTAGATTAAAGATAGAGAGTATTAATTTTTAATAATTATTTAATTAAAAGTTTAGTAATTTATATAGAAGTATAAATTTTTACTAGACTTTAAGATAAATAATATACAAATAATTATTAAAGAATTACTAATATATACAAACCCCTTTTATAATAAGTTAACTAAGATTTTATATAATATTAAAAGTTTTAATTATTTTATTCAGTATACAAATCTTTAAAAAATCTCTTATTTCTTGCTCTCTATATTTTTAGTTAGTTTGATAATATGATTAATATCTAAATAATAAGATAGTAAAGTATTTATTATAATCTTGTTAAAAATATTTAAATACTTATAATAAGACTTAGATAGTTTATATCTAATTTTTATTAAATTCTTTAATTAGTTAAGTTTATAAAAGGTCTTGTTGATATTTACTAAACTTATTATATATAATTTTATAAAATCTTTTTTTAAATTTTTCTATATATGATATATATTAACAGAATCTTGGAAAGTATTAAGATTTAATCATAATATTATTTATATTAAATCTTAATTTCCGTACTCTGAATATAGAGAGTTAAGTTCTTCACTTAAAATACTATATTCTAATATCTTATATATAAAAGTTCTAACATAATATTATATTTATAAATATATAATAGAATATATAGATATATATATTTCTATATATCTTTACTAATATTTAAAAATATTCTTATAAATTTATTTAAAGACTCTATTTTTTTTAAATTCTTTGATATTTTATAATTTAATTAATATGCTTTAATTTATATTTGATTATAAAATGTTAATTAATTATTCTATATAGTATATAGTTAGTATTAATCAGAGTATTTATAAAATAAATTCTATTAATTAATCTTAATATAAATAAAATATAATAATCTTTAAATGTCTGTGTTTTATTTTTAAATTTTTTATAATTATAATCTCCTAATAAATATCTTTTCAAATAATCATTTAAAAAATTTTATCTTTTCAAAAAGACATCTACGGGATTACTAAAAACCTTTAACTAGTTTTTTTATAATATTGTTTCAAGTAAGATTTAAAAAATCTTATTTTTTAAGTTCTTTTATTTAAAAAACATCGCAGGGGTAAATAAAAACACTTAATAATATAATAATTAAAAATTTTATAATAAAAATATAGTCTTTATTCTTTATATTAATTTAAAAACTTTTTAATACTTATTAAATTTATTAAATAGATTCAATACTAGCTGCAGTTAGTTTCTAGTTTATAATGTTATTTAAACTTATTTTTTTAATAAGATTATTTATTTACATATTACAATATCTATGCTATTTTAAGAATTAATTTAATTTTTATTAATTCATTTATTATTTACTTAATCTATTGGCAGAAGCCTTTAAAGTCAGTTTTTTATTTAATATTTAATATTTAGCAATAAATATTATTATTTAAAATTTAATACAAATTTTTTATTGATATTCTTCCAGCTGTAGCTGTTAATCTTAGTTAATAAATTATTAATTTTTATAAGAAAATTATTAACTATTTAATTCTTTTAATAAAATATAAATAATTTATTAATAACCTTCTTTTAGCAGGCAGGGTTCTTATAAATTAATTGAAAATAATTAATTAAGATTATAATTAAGAAGATAAGACTTTTATAATTAATCTTAATCTGTAAATTAATCTTTATCTTAATTTCTCTATCTAAAAATATAAATACATATTAAGTCTGTTTAGCTAATAATTTAATAAATTATTAATTAATCTTAATCTTTATTTATATATTATTAAGTTAACTGAAAAACTTTTTTTAATTTTTCTTATTAAAATTTATAAGAATTAATAACTTAAACTTTTTTATTTTGATTTGTTTTGAAAGAATATTAGTACTGATACAGAGACTAATATAATAAATATTTAAAGAAATAAAAATTAATTATTAATAAATCATTTAATTTATTAAATATTAGCTTAAATCTTGTAATCTATTATAAAGTTTCATTAAAAAAATACTATATCTAAATATTTCAAAAAGTTAATTCTTTAATTTATTTATTTAATTATTTTATAATATTATTATAAAAAATACTATTAGATTAGCTTGTTAAATTTATTAATATATTATAATTATAATATATAGTTGAGACTGATTTAATAAATAGTTTTTAAAGAGAGAAAATTTAACATTATAATAGATTTAAGAGCCTAAAAATTACTTAAAATATATAATAATAAATAAAAATTAAATTCTTTGGAAAGTTATTTAATTATAGATTAAATAGGTTTTCTTACAATTAATCTTTTTTAAAGACTTTCTATACGGTATTAAAAAATCTTTATATTTTTTAACTAGTTTCTTTATAACTTTAAAAAGTTTCTTAAATTCATTCTTTTTTATCAAATAGTTTCTATACTTCTTCAGATATTACTAATTTAGAGTTGTAGAGCTAGACGGGCTAGAATATAGAATGTTCTGATTCCAGATGGCTGACAGGGTCTAATCCTTTCCAGTCATAGGACTATCTGAAGCATCTAACACAAGATAATAAGATAGAAGATTCAGATAGACTAGTTTAAATAAGATAACTTATATTTAGATAAACAACTTGTTAAGTTATATATATATTAGATATAGCTTGAGACTAAATAGAATTATGAAAATAAAAGACTTTTAAACTATGTGTAGAGTCACGTGTGATGTTTAGCAAGGGTGTGCCCTAGTCGCACTGTGACATAAGAAGACTGTTAATAGCTTAATCAAAGCTAATTATATATAATTATAAAAAAATAAAGAAAATATTTAAAGTTATAAGATAGTTATTTAATATAAAATGAAATTATATTAGTACTAACTACTCTAAAACTTTAAGTATAAAAAGAGAAAAAGAAAAACAGAAAGTATTATAGATATCTGTTAAAGAAAAATAATACTGATAACAGCAAAGTAAACAAAATAAACAGGATAATATAAGTATCATGTAATACCCGGCGGAGCTGCTGTCATATTTAAATTAAGATTGTAGGACCAGACAGGCTGGAATATAGGATATTCTGGTTCTGGATAGCTGACAGGGTCTAACCCTTTTCAACATCAGGCATTGACAGAAGAAGTCCTCTACTGTATTTGTACCATAGTACTGTGTAGTTAGGAAGCCCTTTACCTAGTCAACTAACATCACGTTGTTTCCTCTGCCTCGCGTCCCCAACAATCTACAGACTACTCAGCGTGTCGGGTGTAGTATAGCCGGCATTTATTGTCAGGGCACATCTCATTAGACCAAAATGATGTATCGCTGGTCTCTGGAGAAAAGACGGAGAGAAATTATGTCCCAACATTTATTAACATTAAAAGGGTTACCTTTTTGAGATAGTTTTCGATCAGGACTAGTTGGAGAGTTCATAACGCGTTATCTAGTAAAGACAGGATCGCAACGAGGCGGACCATACCGGAACCGAGTACCTCTATATGATCATTAGTGCTATTAGACCCGTATCTTGATAGATGGATCGACTAATCAACCCCCCTCCCCCGGCACAACGAGTAATACATAATTTCAAGAAAGGGCTCGACATGAAGGGAAGGAACCAAGGATTTTGAGTCTGGCGGAAAGATGCTTCAGCAATCAATGTCGACTTCCATTGCTTCACTATAACCATCAATAGGGCCTTGAATCGAAACACTCCCGGTTGTAGTCCCAGTCACGATCGCGTTACTAGAAGGGTTCCCAAAAAGGACATCACAATCTTGTTGAACCCCCCTAGCGCGTTCTCTTGTGGCGATCAGAGCCTTCCGGACGCTGTCCTCCTCTTTTGGAATTGACAAGGACGCAGGCTCGGTGTAAAGAACCAATTCATTGCATGGAGTCTTATTATTATTGACCAACAATCTTGGGATTGCCGTTATTTGATCAGCATATCTGGTAAGAATCGTAAAAGAATCGGCCCTAGGCTCAGCATCTTCTAACTCTCTATCCAGGTCATGTATGTAAATGGTGTGTTTGGTATCATCCAATAACATCAAATCAGATGAAGCAGAAGCAGGAAGCTTCTCTTCGGTATTAGTGACATGTCCAGTTGATACAGAAGGTGCTAAAGGAAAACTCATGTTAGACCAGTTGCTCTGATAGAAGTAAAAAAGAAAGCTGCAGGCGTATAGTGGGATGGTTGGAGATGACATACAAATATGCAACCGACCAAATTTTTTAGCTAGAGGTTGATGATCACTTTCGGGGACACTCTCAGCGGGGCGCTTTTTCCCGTGATTGACCTCCTCACCAGCATGTGCCATCAGCCTCACAAGCAGTGCCTTGATAATGAGATATATAGGCCTGATAGTCAAACTATATGTTACTTAAGTAGTTGCACATAATCTGTGCACATTGAGAAATCAGTACAACTGGGTATGTTGTATTAAGGAGTTGCTTGATGCATATTCATAGGTTCGTAAAGGAGGGGGAGCTGGCCTTGACTCATCTATTATCACCTGTTAGGTCGCAACCCAGAACATTCTACCACCTTCACACTCCCCCACTCTCAACTATCTTGTTCACAAGAACCATCACGAGATCATCCAGTATGGCTTCTGATAACCACCATAATCTGGAATGGAACGCCAAACGTGTTCGAGACACTTTTCTTGAATATTTCAAGGAAAATGGCCACACATTTGGTGAGTACCTTTTTTGATAGAAGCCTGTGAACTTGTCATTAATTCACCTTTATTCAAAACCACAGTTGCCTCGTCACCCGTTGTTCCTCATTCGGACCCAACGCTGCTATTCACCAATGCTGGGATGAATCAGTTCAAGTCGATCTTCCTGGGAACAGTGGATCCCAATTCAGATTTTGCAAATCTTAAAAGTGCAGTCAATTCTCAAAAGGTCAGTACTCTCTTACTACCATGTTCCGCTATACCTAATATAGTCTATAGTGCATTCGTGCAGGAGGAAAGCACAATGTAAGTGCCATGTCAATAATCAACGCCAAAAGACAGACGGTGGAATGAAAGGAAAGTAGCCGGAGAATTGACTGACTTGGGCGATTGTAGGATCTTGACGATGTGGGAAAGGATAGTTATCATCATGTCAGTGAGCCCGACCAACATGCATGATTAATGTGGTGCTAACACGGCAAAAATTTCTACAGACCTTTTTTGAAATGCTTGGGAATTGGAGCTTTGGAGATTATTTCAAGGAAGATGCGATTCGCTATTCTTGGGAATTATTAACCAAGATCTATGGCTTGGATCCCCAGCGTCTCTATGTTACCTATTTCGAAGGGAACAAGGAGGGTGGCTTGGAACCAGATCTCGAGGCAAAAGATTTATGGAGCGCCGTTGGCGTGCTAGAGGATCATATCCTCCCCGGAAACATGAAGGACAATTTCTGGGAGATGGGTGACCAAGGCCCGTGCGGTCCTTGCAGTGAGATCCATTATGACCGGATTGGCGGCCGTAATGCTGCCCACTTGGTCAACCAAGACGACCCCAATGTTCTGGAAATATGGAATAATGTCTTCATCCAGTACAATCGTGAATCGGATCGGTCATTGCGGCCGTTGCCCAACAAGCATGTTGATACCGGGATGGGATTTGAAAGGTTGGTTTCGGTGTTGCAAGACAAGTCGTCAAACTACGATACGGATGTGTTTACCCCCATATTCCAGACAATCCAAGATGCCACTGGAGCTCGGGAATACCGTGGCTGCTTTGGTATTGATGACTCCGATGGTATCGACACTGCCTATCGTGTCATTGCAGACCACGTTCGGACTCTGATGTTCGCAATCTCGGACGGTGCGGTCCCAAATAACGATGGTCGCGGCTACGTCATTCGTCGTGTTTTGCGTAGGGGCGCTCGCTACGCCAGGAAGTACTTCGGGGTTGAGATCGGTAATTTCTTTTCCAGGATTGTTCCTACAGTTGTGGCTCAACTGGGCGATATGTTCCCGGAGTTGAGAAAGAAGCAGCTCGACGTCATGGAAATCCTTGATGAAGAAGAGATGTCGTTTGCTAAAACTTTGGATCGCGGCGAGCGACAATTTGAACATTATGCTCAACAGGCAAAGATTAAGGGAAACGATAAACTCCACGGCGCTGATGTTTGGAGACTCTATGACACGTTCGGTTTCCCAGTTGACCTTACTCGCATAATGGCAGAAGAACGGGGCTTGCAGATCGACGACCATGAATTTGAGGATGCGCGCTTACGGGCCAAGGAGGCAAGCAAAGGCCAGAAGAAGACTGCTGTGGAAACGGTTAAGTTGGACGTTCACGATTTGGGCAAGCTGGAAACCATGAATGCCGTTCCCAAAACAGATGACAGTGCCAAATTTGGGAAGGGCAACATCACCGCCCAGGTAAAGGCTATTTACCAGGGCAAAATGTTCCATTCGTCTACGGACGACGTACCGGACGGCGAACAGCTTGGAATTATTCTTGATCAGACAAATTTCTATGCTGAGCAGGGTGGGCAAGAGAATGACACGGGTAGGATCGTTATCGATGGGCAAGCTGAGCTTGAAGTTGGTGATGTCCAGCTTTATGCTGGGTATGTCCTTCATACTGGGTTCATGAAATACGGTTCTTTCTCTGTGGGAGATAGTGTCATCTGCGAATACGACGAACTACGTCGGTGGCCTATTAGGAACAACCACACAGGGACGCATATACTCAACTTTGCACTCAAGACAGTCCTAGGGGACAGTGTGGAACAAAAAGGATCTCTCGTTGCAGCTGAAAAGCTCAGGTTCGATTTTTCCCATAAGTCAGCCATCTCCGACAAAGACTTGGCCAGAATAGAGGAAATATCAACGGAATACATTCGCCAGAACTGCGCTGTCTATTCGCAAGAACTTCCTCTTGCAACAGCTCGAGAAATATCGGGAGTCCGAGCTGTTTTTGGAGAGACATATCCAGACCCAGTTCGCGTCGTCTCCGTCGGTGTGGAGTTGAGTGAAATACTGCAAAATGTGAAGGACCCTCGTTGGAAGGAGGTCAGCATTGAGTTTTGTGGTGGCACCCATGTGCAGAAGACAGGGGACATCAAGGATCTCATCATATTGGAAGAGGGCGGTATTGCGAAGGGCATCCGAAGAATTATTGCTGTTACTGGAGAAGAAGCTCACGAAGTGCAGCGTTTGGCAGCCGAGTTTCAGAAACGACTCGATCGTTTAGAAGCAATGCCTTTAACCCCAGAAAAAGAAAAGGAAGCAAAGCAGATCCAAGCCGAACTCAACCAGCTTTCAATCTCTGCTGTTCAAAAATCCAATTTCCGGGAACGTTTCGCGCGTATCAATAAGGAAGTTATCGACGGCCAGAAGGCACAACAAAAGCTTGAAACGAAAGTTGCCCTTGAGACTATTACCAACTATTTCCAAGCCCCGGAGAATCAAGACAGGCCTTGGCTTGTTACTAGGCTCCCAATTTCTGCAAACTCGAAAGCAATTAGTGAATCGTTGAATTATGTGAAATCTAAGTTGCCAGAGAAGTCGGTATATCTTTTGGCTGCAAGTTCCGAGCAGGGCCGTGTTGCCCACGGCTGCTATGTCTCCAAGGTAAGTTGTATCGCCCTCTGTCCATTCTATTTTATGATAGTCATACTAACTGGCGCCCTTCTTTCGCATAGACATCAAGCGAACAAGGTGCTTCCGCCAGCCAATGGTCAGCTATTGTTTCGGGTGCAGTCGGAGGAAAGGCCGGGGGGAAGGGGCTCACTTCAGTTGGCAATGGGGTAAACCCTGACAAAGTTGACGAAGCTGTCAACCTGGCTTCCGAATACCTCTCCAGATTCAAACTGTAGGTTGTTTCTTATCTTGAGACTGATCTTTCCCGTTTTATAATATCTAGTTCTTAGTGATAGTGGGGTTTACAACAGCTTAGATGCCATTTATCCGTATTAAAAGTTCATGCCACATGCTTCTTCCTTTGTATCATATTAAAAGGTAAATTATTCGTATTATTGGAGTTTGCTCATGACACACTAGCAACTAGTGTCCATTCATCACATCTCTCCACATTGGATAATCGAAACATCTTGGTTGGGCTTATCCCTTGTTGTCCTAGTGTTCTCAATCATTCGAACGACGTCCATTCCCTCGAGCACTTTGCCAAAAACGACATGCTTCCCATTCAAAAATGGAGTCGTGGTGGTTGTTATAAAGAATTGACACCCATTCGTGTTCGGACCAGAATTCTAGATATTCTGGTTACACATTGTACAATTCAATAACGTCTCAGACAGTCGTCCACTTACTGCCATACTAAGCAAGCCAGCATGGTCATGCTTTAGGGTGAAGTTTTCGTCTGAGAACCTTGGAGTACCATAAATGGTACAAGATCCTGTCCCATCCCCATTGACAAAATCACCACCTTGAATCATAAAGTCCTTGATCTTTGCAAAATGTCAGCTCCTTGAGACACACGACCCAGCGTGCCCATTTGATTATACATACTACTCGATGAAATTTGCTGTTTTTGTAGCCCTGTGGCCGTCCCTGGGCATTTTTACTTTCACCTGTACAGAACCGGCGGAAATTCTCTGCTGTTCGGGGCGTGATATTGGCAAATAGCTCCATTTTTATACGACCCAGAGGCTCCCCTGTGATAAGGATAACTCAGCTACTATCTCTCTCTAGTTCGAGAATCCTCAGCACCACCCCATTCCTGTATCAGCCAATAGTCGTACCATATTGGTGAATCGACATATTGGAAAAACTCCCCGGTCTCAACGGTAGATGTATTTGATCACTTGGCTTTGCATCGTATAAAGGAATAGATGGAAAGGAATTACATCACCCTGACGTACATACCTCCTAATGCTATATCGAAGAAGACCACGGGGTTGACAGTTGGTTGAGAGCTTGAAGATGCGCAGTCCATTTTGTTCAGTTATTGTTGTCGCTGCTAGAATGACGCTTGTTTTGCCTAATCTTGCTTGAGCAATCGGACTTGACTCTGTAGCTACTTTAGTGAGCTTTGATGGGCACGATAAAATTTCTCGAAAATCAGCTTGTTTGTTTGATTCCAGTATCTGGCTGCCGCCGGTCTTTTAAACTCGCTTACAGCTATTACGTACTAGTAGGGAGCAGTGTCTCCACTCCTCTATCTAGTATACTGCGCCTGACTAGGTAAGGTATATGCCCTGCTCTGTATAAAAGTACTATTTACCTGCAGGATGGTATGCATATAACTCACGAAATTAAATTCCACTCCAACGAATTGCGAATGTCTTCCTAATTAATATTGCACCAACACTCTTGGCTGCTGGCTACAACGTGCTGTAGCAGGTTCCGTAACGGATCGTCCGCCCCGTGACTTGGACATCCCAGCCTTAGGTGTTTCTGTTTGCCAACTCCGGGGGCCCTGATCTTCATCCTCCCATGTTGAATCTGATGATTGACTACCATCGGCTTACGCACCATATCCGGAGCTTTGAAAGCTCTCGCTATAGTTGCTCCTACTCCTAGTGATGACCTGTCCGTGGCGTCCCTTTACGCGTGTCTGGAGTTGGAGCCTTCTTCTGGATGAACTGAACTGCTATCGTCGACCGATCTCACAGAAACGACATATTCTTTAGGAGTGTGTTTGTGCCCCCCTCAAGTTGATACACTTGTACACAGTGGTTTATTATCCCCATCATTTCCTAACTCCCGATCGGCTTGCCTTTCTCGATTTGTATCCATCGAAGTGGAAGTTTTCCGCTCTGCCGTCGTCGCATTCGTCCGTCGACATGTCCCCATCAACAACCACGGGCTCCCCTTCCAGTGCCACTAGTACAGATCATAATGGAAACAACAGCAGCTCAAGCCCTACCAGCTCGCCACTTCTTTTCTTTGTCGCCCTTGGATTTGGTGTCGTCTTCACCAATCTATGGTATGTTCAAGTCGGTATCACTAGGCCACTAGCATGTATTTATGTGTATCTGACATTCGCATTTTAGGATCATCGTGGGGGTAAAATATTGTTTTCGGTATAACCAACGCAATCGTCAATTACGCGACCAGGAGACAGGCGAGCCCATAGATCTGGTGACGATGCCTCGAACACACCGAAGACGCAGAGAAAAGAAACTGATGAGCATGGATGACGTTAACGAGAGATTTCCACTCATCAAGTATAAAGCCTGGAGATCCTCGCGTGAGAATAAAGGTCTCTCTACGGCAGGTGGGATCTCAGCGCCGAATAGCAGGCCATCGAGTTTAAAAAGCGACAACTACGTACTGTCTGCCTGTCTTGGTGCACCTTCGTCCATGACAACGTCGCCACTCAAAGGCCATCAGCGGGTTGACTCCACTACGTCGCAGGTTTCTGTACCGCTTGAACACCTGGACTCAACGCCACCGCAATGCGAAGAGAAGAGCCTGGGGCATTCCGAACCTGATCCTGCAGTCTCAGGAGTAAACGACAACGCGGATCATTTAATCGTTGACCAGCTCCGTAACCACGTTCTCAACCATACCATCGTAGAGGAAGTTGGAGACCTTGACCACCATATTCGCACGGCAGTACCTGCCGATCTCCTCACAAATCCAGGTGATACTTGCGCTATTTGTCTCGATACAATTGAGGATGAAGATGATATACGAGGGCTTACTTGTGGGCATGCTTTCCATGCCTCCTGTGTTGATCCATGGTTGACAAGCCGACGAGCTTGTTGTCCCCTATGCAAGGCAGACTACTATGTCCCGAAACCTCGTGTGGAAACTTCTGCATCACTTCCTAGCTCAGAACGTCCTGGTCGACGTATAGCTCCAAGCCCGCCACAAGCTGTCTTCATAGGTGGCAGAGTGAATCTTCTTCGGTCTGCATCAGTCTTCCCGGAGCGGCGTGTGCAGCGAGAGTCCCCAACCAGCAGAGTGGGACTCTCTCGGTTGCGCGTTTGGGGGGCACCTCATTCCGACGACCAGCCTACTTCTGTTGTGGCTGACCCGCCACCTGAACAGTCTGATGGCAGGAATCGGAGGCTAGGGCTGTTCTCCGTCCGCCCTTTTGATCTGAACTTTGGGTTTCGTGGATACCGTTCCTCAGGAAGGAACGATAGTCGAACCCTTGGCCAGCTTGAAGCCGGGTCTCCTATTTGATCTTCTTTCTCTCTTAACTAATTGTTGGAGACAACTGACTGGTCTTTTTCAAGTCTCTGTCTATCATGCCTCTCGACATCTGGAATGCCGACAGGGGTATCATTGTCATTGTTTTTGGGCAGTATGCAAGACACGCCCGCCACTTTGTACAGTACCTTGATGCTTCAACTTTTCAGGCACTCACTCAGCCTTCCTTACCTCTTGGTTGAGAGCATATGGGTTTCCCTCTTGCTGTAATGGATTAAATCTTCTGGACTTTTGGATGCAGGTTATGGCGTTTGTGGCAGATAATCGGATCTATGTCAGACACCAAGGTGGTAGCGAAACGGGGATTATTTGCCTTTTAGCGGGAAATGCGTACGAATATAAACTATGGATATCTTGTGCGTTGCATATTTTGCATATATCAGAAATAAGCCATGATTACCACTGTCTTCATCAATGCTGAGTTTCGTGGTTGCAACTTGTTAGCCGGTTTGTGTCTGAAGTTACTCCTTTGCTGCAGCTTCAGGGCTATGCGAATGCCGTATTTGATGATTTTATAGGGTAGAGATCGATTCGGCACATATTTTTTAAAAAATGATTGCAAAACAATGGATTCTGTGCTCTTGAAACTAGAATAGCTCCTTGTTGTTCACCTCTTTGCCCTTGTTGATCCAACTTCAGCGCTAATGACGCCGGGTAGATCATTTCGTCCAACGTAGCATAAGCATGGTGATAACAATAGCAATTGAAAACCCTATGTTAACACTAGAAATGTGGAATAATGGGGAACTGACCTGTCCTTCTGGAATGCATGTCCTCTCCCCAACACACTCATTGTTTAGTACCGTCATTTTTTCCAACTATAGTTACTTGGCACGTGCATGCATAACAACCAGTATCTAGTTATCGGTCCGGATTTCTTATAACTAAATCCATGTCTTGAGCAGCGGTTTATTGCCCCAATACATGATATGTATAGAGAATGACAAACAGTGACTAGGGGTAGAGTATGTATTATGTGGGGTACAGAGGGTGCAGCCAACTTCAGCCGAGTTGACTTGATGTTTCTGCCATATCATGAAATTGCAGCCCTTGATTTTCCTTGTCAAATTCTGTCAAATTCTTTTGCTCTTGGTAGTGTTTCCCTTGTGGAAACGCATCGAAACCGCCAAACAAGTTCTTCAGTGACATCAGATCATTTGCAGGTGTCTCACCAGACTATGACCAGCATCAGACCAAAATTTAGGGACCAAACGACTACTAACTATTAGGGCTAACACAATCCGTGACACAGCCGCTGCTCCATGTCTCTCAGCCATCGCTTCCACTAAACTGCCTTCATCAAGAGGGCTTTGATAAAAAACGCGAACCACCGCCTGGGATGAGGTATGTCTAGCTAGACAATGATTGGAATTCTGCAAGTAGTAGCTCAGAGTCAGTCATAAGGATCATTCATACCTGGCATTATTTTCCATATCATGTGGAACACGGACTTGAGATGCTCCGAGTCCCGTATTACAGCCATAGATAACACAGTACTTGGTCACTGGCACGATGCTGCTGCTGGATGCTGCTTCCAATACTAAGCTGGGAGGAGCATTCCTCTGCAACTATGTAGGAGAATATAGGGTGAAGAAGCCTTCCTCAGGTTCATGTTGGACAGCTCGAACTTATTAGATGGGATGTTCATTAGAACATCTGAAGCAGGTGTGACGGGTGACATCGCAATACTAGCGTCCTGCTCTAGATACACCCTCTGAGATGAAAATGACCATGTTAAATCCCTCCTTGCCGTAGATGCACCAAACAACAGCGTTGGTAGGCCTCCAAGATCGCTGGAAAGCTCAACAGTAGTCTGGCCTAAATATCCGAGAGTTGACACAACATAATATAGTGACTGAAGCTCTAATGCTCGCTATATCATAATATCAGGGAGTAGAGAAGTGCTTGAAGCATGCTATTAGAGATATACCTTGTCAAGTATATATCTTGTAGATGAAAACATAAATATTAATTCATGTGCACCCATTGCCGCCACGGCTGACATAGCTAAGAACCCCACAGAAACTGCATGCTAAAATTTCAGAAAGAATGCGATTACAGTGTAACTAGCAATTACTGTTATCAGTAAATTATAGTACAAACACGCAGCTACTATGTGGCTTGAATTAACAATTATAGAAATGATCCACCGCATCTGAAGGATCGGATTCTGTGAGATTCACTGTTTTGCTGGAGGAGGGCGCTACAGGCACATCGGCCAGGCTAACCTAACACCTTTTTGACTCTTGATCTACTGTATTCGGAATAGCTCTGCTTTGAAATAAACAAAATTTACCATCTTTGATATATTAATACCCAAGACTGTATAACACGCCTCAGGCTACCAAGTCTCAGACTAACTCACTGAAGGCCTTGCCTAGGGCCTTGCCTGACATAGAGACTTACGTAGTAAGTCACGTAGGGACTCATGTAGATACTCACGTAGGGACTTATATAAATCCCTAGATAAGACCTTATACAAGACCTTTATATATACAATTCGTTGTCTATATAAATTCTTAAAAATATACGAAATATGATATTCTACATAGTACCCTAATAAGCAGAGAATCAAAAAGGGGTGTAGTCAGCAGACCCCGGTAACGTAATCCACAAGCGAACCGGCCACCTCCCCTACATACGTCCGAATCAAGCACTTTTATAGACCCGAAAATTGTATTTTTATATAAAAATCAATTACGTACACGATTAGGACATTGTAATCGCTTATGTCCTAGATTATGACAATCACTGCAGCGTGGTGGCGCCCGTACGAGCCTTGAAGAGGTTGCCAGCCTGGTTTCGTCCGGTATAGATTCTGGCACTTGACGCGTGGATTCTTCTTGTTAGACGCGTTGTATCTCTTTCTGAGCTTCCTGGATGGTAAATCCATTCGTACGCTCAATTTGATGTAGAGAACGGGTCTGCTTTTGATAAGATTTCTCATTGGCAGCGCATAATTCATGATTCTCTTGAGCCAGGATTATACTGCTATTAAGGCTATTTCAAAGTCTTTAAATATCTGTTCCAGTGCCTTGTCTGTTGGACTTAGTGGACTTTGCGTACGTTGCTGAAGAAGACGTTTGATTGTGGACACTGACTTTTGTAACTGACGGGTGTTATAAGGCATTTTAGGATCAGATATAGATAAGTGTGTGGGAGGTGGTGTCAGCGTATGAAGCTTAATATTAAGCTTACTAAGTACTTGTTCTGGATCCAAAGAGACTAATCCAGCTGCTGTAAAGCTGCTTTAAATATTTTCAGATATATATATCTCTATACAAGCAAGCGGGAAGGCCTCAAGGAAGTCAAGCTTATTAATATGATTATACCCGAGCCGGGCCTTACCCTTAATCAGGCGCCTGTACGCTCGTTTTAAGAGTGAGAAGTATCCAATATTCAGCAGTTATAAGATATGAAATGAATGCGGAGATATATAAATAAGAATAATATTATTTTTATTGTAAAGTTTATTAAAATAAGATATTAAATAGCTGCTATATCTATCCAAGATTAGTAGACGATATCTGTGTTACAGACCCCTGCTAGCCAGGTTACTAGCGGAGCGGACTCGTCAGGCAGAAAGTGATGACCAGGCAGGACTCGGGCAACCAGCAACTCTTATTGAGTAGAATCCCGGTCGGAGTAATGTCTGAGGCAGCGCTGTGTCACGTGACCATCTACTATCAGATCTACTATTAAGGATATACGATATAGTATACGGGATCTAGAAACATGATTAGATCGATCCTTGATCTACCCTGAATGGTATACGAAATGGTATATAAAGAATAGGATATAAGGATATTCTTTTATATACTTAGTTAGTTCTATTCTTTATACTTAATAATACTGTCTTTAAGTAACCATATATTTTGGTAAAGCTTAGTAATAATACTTATTTATACTCACTTACAAATAGCTGCGCGGTACTATCTAGCCTTACTTCTCTTTTTCTGTTCAGGACCAGTTCTCTTTAGATAGTCATCAACCTGACTTACCTTGACCCAGTCCAAAGGTACGTATTGGAACAGAAGCTAAGCTAATAGGAATAGGAAGGAGCGATCCTAGGGTTTGATATATTGAGTATTAGTCAGTATGAGTGTTACTCAGTAATAATTATTCATTATATTAACTATATTGAACTTATCGCGCGCCCCACAGTAACAAGGCTTAATAATATAGAAATTAATGAGTATGGTTAGTCAGTTACAAGAAAGCATTACTGTCTTAAAATGATAAAACCAGTTACTCAAAGGTTACTTAGCAGTTAAATCTGTTAAGGTCTGACTACTAGAGCTATTTAACAGCAATCAAGCAAAGCTCAGGACTTTCTTGACCCAGTTAGACTTATATCTCAGCATGAACAGAGAAAGACTTAAGAGTAAGATAAATAAGATTCTTTTCATGTCTACTTATCTGACTAGATTAATATTTAATTAGTTTAAACTATATATTTATAAATATCAAGAAAAGTTAGTAAATAATCAGAATAATAATATAAAGTAAATCTTTACTAGTTATACCAGATTTAAGTAATATCTTGAATAGATATTCAGAGACATTGATATAATATAAAATACTAAATAAAAGTTATAATAATTTAAGTAGACTAGATTAATATCTAAGTATACTTCAGAGTTTTTATAAGTTATTAATTATTTAGATTAAGATGATAATACCTATATCACACGATTCAAAGAAGGACTCAAGATAGAGATTTAAGAGAAACTCATCTAGTAAAAATAACTAAACACATTGCTAAAGATGATTGAAGTAGTAGTTAAGATTGATAATAAGTTATACAAATATAATATAAAATAATGAAAGGATTGATAGACTAGTAGATCTATATCTTGATAAAACAGCTAATCAGGTTACTGAGTTAATAATAGAAAGTTAATATAATCTAGAAGCTTAGAATATAAAGATCCTTACAGACTGAAATTAATAAAGCTAAATATAATATAATATCAGACTTAACAGACTTAAGTGTTTAAAGAGAAACTTAAATAGTATAAACAAGACTACTTGTACTTTAACTGCAGTAAAGTAGATTATTAATTAAAAAACTGTAGTCAGAAACAGTAATAACCTCAGAAATAGTTAAGAACTATAAACCAAGATTAAGATAGAGAAGTCTATGATATTACTATTATTTAGTATAAAGTTTAGACAGAACCTGTAATATAGATACTAGATAATAAGAAGCTATATATTATTTAGTATAATCAGCTATCAGATAATAGGATATACTATGATTAATTAAAATAATAAAGTATCCTGGATAAGTTAACAGTACTATTAAGTTAATAAAAAGATTAATAATTATCTGTACTATTAGCTTGGACCACAGAAATCAATAATAATAATTATAAGCCAGTTCCGAGGAATGACTATTTTAGTATAGTTTAGGATGAATTTAAACTATTGGATAAAGAATATAATATTTTGTTTAAAGATCTTAAATCTA